TATGTATTATAACAAATACCTGCAGAGGGCGCCAACGGCCTGGTGACGTTTCACTTTAGTTTACAGCGTGATTAAACGATGTTTAAATCCATTTAATTTTAATATTTGGCCACATGCAGAAACTTTTATTTCGAAATCGTGATGTACAATACATGGCATATTTAGAAATAGGTTGATGTATTCTCCTGTGTTGGCAAAGTTTTATAAATGATTTAGGTTACAAATCTAGTGAGATAATGCACAGTTTTTCCAGATGAACATTAATTCAAATTCACGGCATATGCAGAGGAAGAGTTTAGCCCCGTTCACACATACAGTACTGGTAAATTACCGGTAAGTTACCATTAATAGATCATGTGTTTTTTTTTTCAAAAATCCCGGTAAATTTGTTCTGGCAATCATATCGTTTTATGGAATTGACATGATTACTCTGAGCCGTTTACAAAGCTCCACTGTTTTTAATGAGTTATTCTATGTAAATATGCGCTATATGGACATTTTTGACCATTGCGCCTCGCAGCTTTTTGTCGTGCTTCTCCGTTCATCAGGGCTGCAACTCTGCAATTGGATACTATTATGCGCGTCTTGTGTTTATAAGAGCAAAACATTCTGATTGGCTAGTAATGTTAGTTTGGTTGAGAGTGAAAGCTGTGCTCCTCATACCATTGGTAGGCGAAGTCATGGACTCAAAAGTGATGTCAATCAACATTTTATTTTTTTTTTTAAATGTAGGACTATTTTTTTTCGCAGCCAAATGCTGCATGCCGGAGATTATTTGCTGCAACTACATCTGTGAGCAAACCATGCGAGTTGACGTTGTCTTGATTTGTGCTGTGCGAGAACAATAATTGACGAAACGTATTACACTTCTCTTACAAGCAGTGAAGAATCTGATGCAACAACTACAACATACTGATTAATGGACAACATTAAAACTACAGGAAGCATATTTGGCTTTCTCACCTGAAGCGCTGCGCCTGGTGATGAACAGGTCCTCCAAACCGACGGGATTGAGTGGGGTACAGCTGAGAGATCAGCTGGGAATTCTTGGTCTGGTTTGGACTGGCAGCAAACTTCACTGTGATTGGTTCAGAGGCACCAGCTGGTTTGGATCCATTAAGATCCTTGATGGCTTCCTCCGCTTCAGACCTCTTATCGAAACGGATGAATGCAACTCCACGAGACAGACCTAACAGGTAAGAAAGCCCCCCAAAAATGAGTTGAGACCCAGAATGCATTCAAGATGGAAAATTGCAGTGTGCAGGACAGAATTATTACCCGAGGCCTGATCGACCAGTATGCGGGAGTTTATGATATGCCCGTACTGGGTAAACATGTCCTCTACATCCTTCTGTGCCATGGTCTTGGGTAAACCACTGATGTACAGGTTGGCATCTTTGATGCTGTCAGAGCTCGGCCTGGCATATGACACCTAATTTAATGGAAAAAAATTGCATTAAAAAACACTTCATTAAGACCTTATTAAACAAAAATATTAAGCCATCATGTTTGCCCCCATTACTGATGAAACAATATAGTTCCATTGTGTAGCCAAAGCATAACCTCACATCTGAGTTTCACATATGAAATAAAATTAAAAACAACCCCAACAAAAATAAAACCCAAACAAAAACACTACAATGATAGTGTACTTCATATAGGTATAAAACCGTTTTTATAGTCTATATCTACAACAAAAACGGTCAACTTTCAATTTGAATTAAAACTATAAATGCTCAAAAGTAAAACAAAAACAAACAAAAAAAAAACAAGAAAGAAAATAAAAAAAAATGTCTGGGACTTCAGCGCAGGGCTTCTGTTCGGCACAATTTCATACTTAAGCAAATGACTAACATTTACCACTCCGTTTTTACACCACAACCATGCAGGAGAAATGAAAATAGCATATTTTGATCTTAAAAGGAACTCCAAAATAAAAATGTCACTGACTTCAGTATAATTCTGTACCGAAATTAAACCATGCTTAGTCAAAGACAGCCAATCATACAGATTATAAGAGCAAAAATCTTGAGACATCAAATGTCACGAAAAAGAAAATCATACAAAAGGGAAAAAAAAAAAAAAAAATGGAACAATTGTTGAAACTCATGAAGTTGTTCATTCCTTACAGAAAGCAGGCAGGACTGGAACGCTGTCCTAACTGCTTTGAGTCTCGTTTACCAATATGGCATCTATAATTTAACACATGGATACAAAAACACCTCTTTGCACGTTACCTTGATAGTTTTAGACTGTAGTCTCAGGCCATTGAGTGTATTGATTGCCCTTTCTGCATCATTAGGGTTAACATAGTTAACAAATCCGTACCCTAAACTGTGGCCTAGAGAAAACAAAAGGGAAAACAAACAAAATAAAAATAACAAACGTTCGTCCACATCCTGCAGACTATTCTCTCTGCACAAAAGAAACAAATGCAAGCTGTTCTTGTGAATGGCAATTGTAAAACAAAATAGTTACATGTTCTTCAAAAACAAAGTTTGACATCAGGCAAGAAAACGGTTAAGATACAGAAATCTAATCCAAACATCAAAAACTATCTTCATAAAATAGTTTCTAGGAAAAAAAACAAATACCTTCCTTCACCTCCTTAAAAATAAAAACAAAAACATTAGTAGGCATTTATAAAAGTTTAAGTAAATAAAATACAATGTACATTCAACATTATAACTATACATCATATGTGACCCTGGAGCACAAAACCAGTCTTAAGTCGCTGGGGGATATTTGTAGCAATAGTCAAAAAAACATTGCAAGGGTCAAAATTATAGATTTTTCTTTTATGCCAAAAATCATTAGGATATTAAATAAAGATCATGTTCCATGAAGATATTTTGTAAATTTCCTACTGTAAATATATTAAAACTTAATTTTTGATTAGTAATATGCCTTGCTAAGAACTTCATTTGGACAACTTTAAAGGCGATTTTCTCAATATTTAGATTTTTTTGCACCCTCAGATTTCACATTTTCAAATATTTGTATCTCGGCCAAATATTGTCCTATTCTAACAAACCATACATCAACGGAAAGCTTACTTTTTCAGCTTTCAGATGTATAAATCTCAATTTCGAAAAAAAGAAAGAAAAAAAAGACCCTTATGACTGGTTTTGTGGTCCAGGGTCACATATTTCTAAGTACAATAAATTCCATAGACAGTGGGATGCTTTGGGCAAGAAAAAAGAACAAAAAACTAAAAAAAGACTATCAAACAAAGCTAATGGCATAGATGCATGAAGATGGCACCAGACTGACATCAATAGGCCTCTCTCCAGGTACTCCACAATACAACTGGAAATTGATAATTGTCCTCAAAAACATAGGAAACAATAGGAAAACAAAAACACAACAACCCAAAGAATAAAGCACATTTGCTTATACACTTTGCACAGAACAAGACAAGGATGCCCACACCATTAGAAAGAAAGAAAAAAAATAAATATATTTTTTTCTTCAAAATGTCAAATGAGTTTTTGCAATCCCCCCCACCAAGAAAACATTTACAGAAAAACAAACGTGCTTGACTTCAAAGTCAAATCAAAACTTGGCACATTGTGGGAGGACTCCAAGTCTAATCAAAAGTTCAATGATATTGAATCGGACCAGTACCATCTTTACACCTTTTCAAGTAGAGGGGGGGGGAAAAAAAGATAAACCAAATGAAAATTTGTGAGCAAAATGTTTATTGGAGCATAAAACATACCACAGTGGACAGTGAAATGCTGCCACAAATCTGACCCAAGCTTCAATAAACTGGTCAAAAGAAACCAAAGGTTTGAAAAAACAAAACAGTACTTTAAAATACTGAAAAATAAGTGCATTCCCTGCAAAACTTGTAACTTAAAAAAAAAAGAAAAAAATCTGAAAAAATCTTATTTGAAACACAGACAAGAAGTTATGAAAACAAACAGCCTCTTTCTTCATGTATCACAAACACCGAAGAGAAAGACACTGGCTCACTGTGTTGAGACGTACCTGCCATCTTGTCTCTTATGAGTTTGGCCGACTCCACCTCGCCAATGCTGCTGAAGAGACTCCGAAGCTCCTCCTGACTCATGTTCTGGGGCAGGTAGTTGATGATCAGGTTGGTTTTCGCATCACTCGGCTCATCGCCCATTTGGTCCTCGTAACCGTTCGGCATGTCGTATACTTCCTGCTAGAGAAAAGATTATGCATTGTGACCAAACCAAGAAGACTTACACAGGCAGACTAAAACCTAAAAAAAAAAATGCAAGTAGCATGACCAACAACATCCGACATTAGTCTACACACAAAAATAATGGCCAATTTTACCTTTACTGAGCTGCCACTCTTGTGTGAGTCTCTGTCATTACCCTGGTTCTGAACCTCACAAACCTGCAGCAACAAATCAGTTGCAACATGATATAAATATATACCTAATAACACCATGCAATATATAGCTATTTGTACTTTTGTTTAGGTGCTAACTGTAATTCCTGGCCTTTATACTTGTACTATGCAAAAAATATAGCAACGATTGTTGTAACTAATAATCAAATAATGAAATGTGATTTTTTTTTTTTTTACAGAAACCAAAATGTAAATTTTCGTTTGGCTGTAAACCAATAAAGCTGTGTTAGTTAAATTTGGCCAATTAAACTTCCTCACTAACAAGCCACCTTTTGATATTTTAGCTGAACGTGTTTTTCTACTTTTTAGTTTTGGTCATGGTGAAGTGCATCTACACAGCTAACGTTTGGCTGTACATTATTCACTTTATGTGGTAAAATACATGCTAAAACTGTCCAAATACACCAGAGAAGCACTAATAAAATACCAGTTTCAGTCAATAACTTCAGCCCTCCAAATCTATTTCGGCCATAACCAAGTTTTTTTTGTTTGTTTTTTTGCAGTTGCAGACGATTATTTTCTCTTACTAAAATGCCTGTGCATAACCACTTGAAACTCGTCTCTGAAATTCTTCCCAATTGTCAATAAAATAAGTGCATAAACAAAAACAACGGTAGCTCAATAGGCAACATATATACCTTAACATATTGAATTGTTATAAAGTAACTCACCATTTCACTGTAGAAATTAATGTAAAAGTAGATTGTAAATACTTACTTTTAAATACCTTATGTGTCCTCTTCTGACGGCCATGTAGACACCTTACAGCTTCAAAATCTTAGTCTGAAAAAGAAAAGAAGAAATTGTAAACAGCCTTGCAGTAGATACACATTTTCTATTAGAGAGCAAGACAAAACCCTGCATCGTTACGAACCGTAACATCCATCGGTTTAGACCATTTCATTTTTTAACATTGTTTGCACTAGTGTAGGGACAAAAATCACTGAAGTCTACCACTTACAATGGAATAAACGTCTAGTCGTCGACTTATTTCCTCTACAACCAAAAACACACGCAAAACAATTAAGAGTAGCTAAATGTATGCTAGGCTAACCAAACTAAGCTAGGCTGCACGAATAGCGCGAACAGTTACAAATAAATAAATATTAACAACATCGCAATAGTACCATTACACACACATAGAGTGGTTACATTACCTAAACTCATTTTGCAAATTATAATGATACTTTCAAAGCTCTAGGCCGCTCTTTTGAGGCCTGTTCGCCAGTATCGAAGCTACCGGCGCGTGCTCGTGAACGTTTGAGAGCGTGCAGTCCGCACATTTAAAAAAAATCACATATTATAAAAAGAATGACATAATTTTCAAGCACAAATAATATATATTTATACCTCCGTTTCCTTTGTCCTCGACCGTCGTTGTAGTAGAGCGAGTCACAAATCGTGAAGAGAACAAAGCGGAGATCTCGAGATCTGCTCTACCTACTTCGCACGCGCGATCTCAACCCAAGAAGGGGGTGAGCTCGGGTGTCTCGCGCCAAAGCAGAAGTGAAGCCACGCCTCCTCCCGTTTGGCGGAAGAGATGCTGCGGAATCACAACCATGATCTTTTTGAAGCACTGCCATGTTTATATATATATATATATATATATATATATATATATATATATACACACACAC